GCCTCGAACTCACAGAGATCCGCCTGGCTCTGCCTCCCGAGTGCTGGGATTAAAGGTGTGCGCCACCACCACCCGGTGAAATGTGTGATTTTTAACGTTAGAACTTGAATCGGTCAGCCAGCTTAGTAGTGGTATATGGGAGAAGCCCTGTAAGTGGTTTCCTGAGTGGAGGAACTTCTAGGATGAGTAAGTTTATTATTTCACTAAGGTGATTATTATTCCTCCTTAGTCTGTCTTCAGCTGGAAGAATGGTCTTTAGGCCAGGAGATTGTAGTCCAAGATGAATTTTAAGGGAGGCAACAACAGTATGTAGTGCTCTGAACTTCAGAGCTGATTAGAATGTCAGTCTCCACCAAGGACCAGAGGTTGAAATCAGATTCCATTCTCTTGACCAGAAGAAAGTCATTTTTCCCTTATCATTGGAAGGGGACGACTTAACTACAGACAAGAGGAAGGCTGATGGCAAAGTGCTTTCTGTTTGTTTGAGGTCGAAGTGGTAGGTTTGTATCAACAGTATACTCTGGAAAGTTCAGGGTTTGGGAACTAATAAATGAGTGAATGCTGCATGAAGCGCGTAAGCCCCAAATGATTTCATCTCAGATTTTCTTTGAAACCCATTCAAGCACCACTGGCAACTAACACAGCCAAGTTCTCCTCCTGCTGTGGCCTTCATCCTGAGAAGGAAAGCAAGAAGTGGCCTGTGACTCAGCTTTTCCTTCTGAGGTCTCATCTCATGCAAAGGAATGTAGACTCCTAGTAAATCACTTGTGAGTTGGTTGGATATGGAGCTTTTAAATTTGAATCTTGTACCTAGAAGATTTATAAGAAAAATAAAAAACAGCCAAGAAGTGTAACTGTCTCTGACTTTTCACCATAACGAAAAGATACAGGAAAGAAACTGCTAAGTTTCAGAATCTGAGGAAATCGAAAGCTATGAAAGCTGCTGGGTGGAGAGCTCGCTGTTTTCTTCTCCTCTACCCACAAAACAACACAGGCTGAGGTACCCAGGAAGGCTCAGTCTGTGAAGTAGTCCATCCTTTGAACTTCTATAGATTACATTCTCCAATACCAAGAGACTTATTAGCTTATATTCTTACACACACACACACACACACACACACACACACACACACACACACACACACACCAACTGCCCCCTCAACACACTCTACAAAGAGGAAGAAAAAGGAGAAGAGAAGGAGGAGGAGGGGAGAAGCCTTGCGTCCTACCCTGTAGAAGATCTCAGCATCCTGACACCTCTGAAGTAACTTCCAACAACGTGAGTTCTACCTGCTTTCTGTAGATACCTACCTCTGTGAAAACCACAAGAACGGAGGGAAAAACCTTGCCGGTTCTTCTGGGGGGAGGGGGCTAGGTAGAACTGGTGGCTGCTGCAGTCAGCAATGAACCCACAGTAGCTGGATTCGGATGGTTCACTCAGGAAGTTGGCAGACATCTTTCTTCCTCCACTGCAGCGGAAGGAGCCAAGAAAAATACATTTTGCATCTTTCAGAATGTTTAATAAACTTTCCAAGTGTAGTCCGAGTAAGTGGGTAAGAAGGAGGCTGTAGTTATCTTGGATGGGGAGTCCACGGTTACCTGGTGGCTGTGGTGAGTGACTGGGGGGGAAGTCAAGATAGTGACATGAAAAATTACCATGAGTGAAAAATGCCTCTAGACATGGAATAGAGTTTTTTAGTATCTCAGCACTATGCAGCATGACAACCAATGGGCATATGCAGTAGAAAGGTTGTCAGATTCATAACATGTAAACGTGTGCTGTTTTAACAATTTCACAAGCCCATTCTATGTTCTCTTCTTCACACTTTTATATCAGGTGGTAAAGGTGTTATTTCAGTTATTGTTAGTTTGCACCATCTTGAAGGTTAATTGTTTCAGCTGTTTTGGTTTCCTTTCAGTTTTCTGATGGTAAGCTGTAAGGGAGTGGTGGAAATTTAAATAGCAATACATGTATATTGCATACTTATAGAATCTTTTGGAGAATCTATGTGCTATGGTAGAGTACTTCATGTGTACTTGAATGGAAGCTCTTTTTTGCTTGTTTGTTTCTTTAATAAGTGCTTTATTTCAGCTACATATAAACATGAATTCATACATATAGATACATATACTAAGCCTGTGGACATTTCCTACAAAAATTCTAACATTAAATCTATTAAAAAGTTTTATTAAACCATGGGGGGGAAACAACAAGACTTAGAAGTAAAACTTAGCCATATATCATTTTTATGTGCAGCAATGAAATTTACATATTACAATGCAAACATTCTCAGTCACATGTTTTTTCCTCAGAAATCTCTCTCAACTAATTAACTTAGGTAAGGACAGAGCCATGCAGGCACCCCAAATGATTTTAGCAATGCCAAATTGGAGAGCAAGCTCTTCCAGTCAGTTGTATTATGTGGACCTATTGTTATACTTTATCAAATTTCCACCCTAGCCTATCTACCTTCCTCTACCCCACTCCCAGATGACCGTCTTCCTTGCTTGTGTGCAGACATGATTCCCACTTTTCTCCCAATGAACCGAAAGCTCTCTGGAGGCCTGAGCTCAACCCAGCTCATTACTAGAATCAAAACAAGAATTATTTTTTTCTTTCATATCATGTTTTTATTATTTAGAGCAATTTTAAATTTAAATATATTTTGATCATTCTTCCCTTCCCCAAGTCCTATCAGATGTTCTCCCTGTCCCTACCCACCTAACTTTAAGTTCTTTCTCAAAAAAAAAAGCTCAATACAACAACAAAGCCCCCAAAACCAAGAAAACAAAATAAAATACCTAAAAATAAAGCAAACCATCAAACTGTAACCAAATAAAAGCACATACACACACACACACACACACACACACACACACACAAAGCAAAACAAACCTGTAGCTAGAGTTTTCCTGCCTTGTCCACAATCAGGACAAATCTTTGTCACCTGCCAGTCCCCCAGCCGCTCAGACCCAACCAAGTAAACACAGAGGCTTATATTGCTTACAAACTGTATGGCCGTGGCAGGCTTCTTGCTAACTGTTCTTTTATCTTAAATTAACCATTTCCATAAATCTATACCTTGCCATGTGGCTGGTGGCTTACCGGCGTCTTCACATGCTGCTGGTCATGGCGGCGGCTCACCTGCCAGTCCCACAGCCGCTCAGACCCAACCAAGTAACTAGCTACACAAACCAAACAAACAAAAAACTGTAGAGTCCTTTACATGTTGGTCAGCTATTCCTGAATATGAGGCCTTCCTTGGAAAGACTGATATACCCAGTGTCGCTGCATTGATTTTCCATCTCCCAGCAGATATAAATGACAGTTCAGTTGCTAGCCTTTACCTTAATGGCTAGGTTTTCATTCTTTTTTTTTAAAAAATGCAATAAAATAAAGTATAATAAGGTAAAACAAAAACTATTACATCCAAGTTGGACAAGACAAAGAAACAGAAGGAAAAGTCCAAGAGAAGACACAAGAATCAGAGATCCATTCCTTTGCACACTAGAGAATTCCATAAAAACACTAAACAGGAACCCATAATGTAAGCAAAGGACCTAATGTAGGCCTGTAGAGGCCCTGTGCATATTTCTTCAGTCTCTGTGAGTTCATATGAGCTTTGCTTGGGTTGGTTTAGAGGATCTGTTTTCTTGATGGTCTCCATCCCCCATGACTCTTAAAACTCTTTCTGAATCCTCCTCTTCCACAGGGTTCCCTGACCTCTGAGGGGAGGGATTTGATGGAAACATCACATGGAGGACTGAGTGTGGCAATGTCTCCTATTCTCTGCATAATGTCTGGCTGTGGAGTGTCTATATGTGCTCCCATCTGCTACAGGAGGATGTTTCTCTGATGATGAGTATAGCAGATCTATGAGTATAGCAGAAAATCTTTAGGAGACATTTCATCACTGCATTTCTTTTCTTTCTTTCTTTCTTTCTTTTTCTTTTTCTTATTTTTTTTTTTTAGACATCTATTATTTGGCTTTCCTTTAGGTCCCAGTGCCATCTAGTCTCTGGTTCTTGGTCACCCAAGCAGTGTCAGGTATTGGTTTCATCTCATGGAGTGGACCTTATGTCAAATCAGTTATTGATTGGTTTCTCTCACAAGTTTTGTTCCACCATTGCCCTAGCAAATCTTTCAAGCAGTACATCGTTGTGGATCAAAGGGTTTGTAGCTGGGTTGATGTTTATGTTTCTCTTTTGATGGTGTGCAGACTACCTTTCTGTACCAAAGCTATTAGCAAGTAGGGGTTGATGAGAGCACTAACTTGACATCTACATGTTCAACGAGTTGTGTAGGTGTTGTCTTCAGCAATAGAGCCCTGCTGTCAGTTTGTGAAGAGCAACCTATAGTCTTGACAACAGTCTAGGTTGTTTGGGGATTTCTGTGGGGCCCCTTTGGACGACAACTAAACTGAATGTAAGCCAATCTCAGTAGTGGAAGCTTCATTTGGTAACAAGCAATGGCTAGAAAGGACTCTGTCTCCCCCATTATTTTGCAATTTCATTTAGATTGCCTTCATATATATGTATATATTTTAGATTTCTACTGTATTAGGTTTCCATACTACCCCTCAAATGGCCCTTACTTTTAGATGTTGCTCACCATATTCCCTTGCATAACTCCTTTCTCCCCTCCCCATTCCACCCTCCTGTTTCAGCCTCTCATCCGTCAATAATTATTCTATTACCCTTTCTTAAGGAGATCTGTCTCTTCCCTCTAGTCCAGAGTTTCTCAATCTGTGGATTGGTCCCCTTGGGGGGGTTGAAAGATCCTTTCACGGATATCCTGCATATCGGATATTTACATTATGATTCATAACAGTAGCAAAATTACAGTCATGAAGTAGTAATGAAAATAACTTTATGATTAGGGGTCACCACATAAAGAACTATTAAAGGGTCACAGCATTAGGAAGGTTGAGAACCAAAGCTCTAGTCCTTTACTCAATACCTACCCTTTGTGGTTCTACAGATTGTAGCTTGATTATCATTAATTTAACAATAGCTACATATCTTAAGTAAAAGTCAGCAAACGCTTTTACTTAACTGACTATGGCATTTACATTCAGACTGATAATTAATACCTCCATTTTTTCCTTGCTCTTGCTATAGTTATTTCATTTGTAATACTTCTATATTCTCCTACTTGTCTTGTCTTTATAAGTTATGTCTTACAGTTTAAGATGAAACCATTAATGAACCTTTATGTCCTTTGCCTCCCTCCTGCAGCCGTGCATCCTCCCTGCTTCTCCTCTCTTTGATCAGAGCTTCACCCGTAATGCAGAGGCGAGGCCAGCAAAGCTTGTGTTTCTGCTTAGATTTTACTCTGTGGTAGTCCCAACTTTACTTATTGCTTTCTCGCAGTTAATTATAATATCTTTTTCTATGTTTTTGGCTTTTGAAACTACAAAGGCTTGTAGTGTCAGACAGTATATTTTGAAACAGTCTTATCATCATTTTATCTAGGTTAAGATACTAGCAGCAAGTTTTGTTTCTTTTTTGTTTTTAATTCATAGTAAGTTGAAGGTATCTCTTTATACCAGTGGAAATATATTTTCCTAGCCAGAATATGGTATCTGCAGATGGATATTAATGCCTATTTCTTAAATACTATATTACTGGAAACTTCATTGAGATATGGATCATTACCACCAAATCAAGACAGTACTTTCAACAACAAAACATGATGATTCACATGTAAGTGGGTTGCACACAATGTACTCATACCTCCTGTCATCACATATCTTTTGGAGATATGTGTTCTGTCACAAATCATTAAACAAATCAAAACATATTTTTAAAGCTCTTTGGTTTATGACATCAAGAAACAGTATATATAAATCCATACACTTTTGCTTAAGGCAAATTGCTGTTGATAATGAGTTCTAATCTCGTCCTTGAATCTTTGCAGGTGATCTGGCTGTGACGGCTAGTTTCATGTCAGCTTGACACAAACTAGAGTCATTTTGTAAAACAGAACTTTGACTGAGAAAAGGAGACTGACTGGCCCTTGGACATGCCTGTGGAGTATTTTCTTGATGAATGATTGCTGTGGAGGGCCCAGCTCACTGTGAGCAGCGCCATCCCTGGGCTGGTGGTCCTTGGGTGCTAAAGCAAAGAAGGATAAACAAGCCAGTAAGCAGCTCTCCTCTGTGACCTGAGGAAGGAAGAGTTTATTTTGGCTTAACTTCTACACCACAGTCTATCATTAAGTGAAATCGAGGCAGGATTTTAAGGCAAGACCCTGGAGGTTGTAACCCTTTCTATACCGGTTGTTTTTGGTCTTTGCTTTATCACAGCATTAGAAACCCTAAGATAATAGTCTCCATGTCTGAAGGTTTACAGAGCATTCTCTTTCTTTAATGTCTTTAATCATCTAAACTGTGATGTGTCAGCAGATGAATTTTTCTTTCACTATCTGGGCCTTTTCAACCATGTTTAACTTTTCACAAAAGGAAAGTAGTGAACAGACCCAGAAAATGTAATGTATAATTCCCATTATACAAAAGATATACAAAATATAACACAGATAACTTATAGATTTATGCTAACTTGGACTCCATCCATATGCTATCACCAAGGAAGTATACAAAGGCCTAATCAGATCCAGACTCACAAGACTATGTTCTTTCAGGCATTCTGGAAGTTTCTAGAAGACAAGTCTCATTTCCCTTTCTTCTTAAAAGTCACCATGGGAAGGCAGACAACAAGAACTGTGAGGAGGATAATGAAACTCTAATTAGCTACATCACAAAGCAGAACAAGTGAGGGAAGACTGTAACCCTAAAGCTTCTCATACTAGGTATAAAGAAACAAATGCAAAGACACTGTTCATTCAAGGCCTCCCAAGATATTTTAAGGAACAAGATTTTTTTTAACAAATCGAGGAATGATTGGAGGATTTAAACTGAATTTAATCATGCCTTATATACAGAAAATAGACTCTGTGAAGAAATAAAAGTGACTCATGATATCAAAGCATAAAGGAGAAAAAAAAACAAACAAGTATTGATATAATCCTATCCAATAAATTCTGCGACCTGACTCTAGAAAGCATGTAGATACTCAGCACGGTGACAGTCATATAGGCACAGAGGACCCTGAGACCAGGATTTAACACCATGGGAATCAGAATGCCAGTGAGAGATGTTTCAAGCCAAGTGGGCAAGTGTCAGTGGCCCCAGCATGGGCCATTGTGTTGTAGCCAACCAACAGTTACGTATGCAGCTCCTTTGTACATAAGACACTTCAGTCAAGAGTGTGAGAAGAGTCAGGAACCCATGGGCAGACATCCAGCAATAGACTTCAACATCAATGAATATTAGAAAGAAGATCCAGAACTTCAACACTTCTGATGGTGTGAATGAGAACGGTCTCCATAGGCTCATAGATTTGAATGCCTGGTCACCAGATAGTGGCGCTATTTGAAAGGATGAGAAGGTGTGGCCTTGTTGGAATAGATGTGGCCTTGTAGAAAGTATGTCACTGGGGGTGGGCTTTGAGGTTTTCAAAAGCCCAAGCCAAGCCTGGTGGCTTTCTCTTCCTGATGACTGTGAATGTAGAACTCTCAGGTATTTCTCTGGTGCCGTGTCTTTCTGCATGCTTCCATGCTGTCCACCATGATGATAATGGACTAAGCCTCTGAAACTGTAAGTCAGCCCCAAGTAAATGTTTTCTTTATAAGAGTTGCCATGGTCATGGTGTCTCTTCACAGTAGTAGTAACACTAAGACAACACTCATAACCCATACTCTAAACAATTGTTTATTTCCACTTTCTTCCACTACAAACCATGACAGATCTAAGTCAGATACTGTTGTTAACAGGGAAGAATTTTCCAGACTTGTTTATTAACAGATTAGGTCTATACTCTTTTTGCAAAATGGCACATCTGGGAATTAACTCTATCATAAATACAACTATGAGCACTGTGGAATGGGTCATTCGCTCACCTAGGTTTATCATGTTTTTGAAATTGTCTATGAATGTGTGTAATTCTGTATGCTATTATTCTCATTTAGGTTCACCCATAATTTGAGAAATGGTGAATGAGTACAAGAAAATTGTTCTTCTGGTAGGACTAATGGGTATCAGCGATGACGATTTTAAAATGGTTAAATCCTTGCTAAGCAAAGAACTAAAACTAAATAGAAAGATGCAAGATGATTATGACAGAATTAAGATTGCTGACTTGATGGAGGACAAGTTCCCAAAAGATGCTGGAATGGACCAACTGATAGACCTGTATAAAGAGATGCCAGGACTTGGAGACCTTGCTAATAAACTCAAAAAAGAGAAGGCAAAAGGTAATAGGGGAGTATCCTGGATGCCCACCCTTTCTTTAACTTCTCCAATTGCATGCTAGCTCCATGCAGTGATCATAACTGACATGGCTTTCACCGTGTATACCTCAGGAGCTATAGAATGGCAGTATTTCAGATGTCAAAAATTGACAGCTTACAAATTTTCCTTCTTACAAAGAATTCTACATTTGGGGGTTGGATATCTTTGAGGGCATTGGGGCAAATAAAAATGCAGAAGCTGTTGAAAGAGATGAGACCTTCTATTACTGTATAAAGATGAGAAAATTATAAAATAAAGATTGGAATAATTCTTATTTTAAGATATTTAAATCAATTAGTATTAATGCTCCATTAAGACACTCAACATTAACTATTCTACAAAGGAAATAAAGTAGTCAATAATTAAGTAAAAGTCTACGCCCCAAAGATAAGAAGTAGTTCTATTTTATAAAGTCACTGGGAAAAAAACAACTAATTTGGAAATAGACTCCCATCTATGATCCTAGGAATAAGGAAGCTGGAACAAGGAAATATTCAGTTTAAAACCATCCTGGTCTATGTAGCTAGACTTTGCATTAAAAGAAGAACACAAACAAACAATTAACAAATTAATAGATAAAACCAAACAGAAACAAAAAGTAGGAAGACAAAGTAAATATCATCATTTTGTCATATCACAAATCAGATAATTTCTTTCAATGATTTTCTAATGTGGAGTGATCATCTACAGAAGATGGTTTGTCAATGATTGTCATTATACAAGCATTTAGGGGTCAGAGGCCAACACTGTGTGTCTTCCTCCATTGCTCTTTGTGTTGTTTTTTTGAGGAAATTTCTCTTAATGAACATGAGGCTCTCATTTTCAGCTCAACAGGCAAGCTAGATTACTACATCTGCGTGCTCAGCCTGGAGGTTCTAGATGCGCACTTTTAAGTTGTCACTAGATATCTGAATTCAGGTCTTCATGCTTTCAGAGCAAGGGCTTTACCAACTGAAACATCTCCCCAGACCTAAACTTTAAATTCTTAAAAAGCAGACTGTATGATAAGAGAGCTGGGGCAGGGCTTGCCACAAGGACACAGAAGTCCCCAGGATGGGAAGACTGTGTCCACTGCACCTAGAGAGAACAAGGAAACCCCTGAGGCAGTCCTGTGCCTGACTTGGTAGCATATGACACCTTGTGGCCTCATCAAACTTCTGAGACAGAGGTAGGCAAGCACAATGAGACAAGAAGAACCTGAGAGCAAATAATACTAACTAAACTAAGCTGTTCCAAGAGTGATGTCCTTGAGTTTACTGTGTTTTCTCTCCTGCATCAGCTAAAAGGAAACAGATAGAAAGACGCAGGATTCCAACAAGAGGATGCAAGCAAGATGAAGCCAATACTTCCCAACCTATGTCCACCACAAATGAAGATTCAGAACCAGAATTGGGCAGGAGTACATCCAACTCACAGGTATAGTGGCTAAGCTCTACTAAAGTTCCTCCCCTTTTTACCATTGAGTGAAGATTTATCTGTCTGTCTACTCATAGGATCTAGTAAAAATGGAGATTTGAAGTAACCAATTTCATACTTACTGGTCATTTGTGTGTCAGGACTACTGCATACTTTAACTTGTATCATGTAATTCTATAAAATGGGAATAAAAAAATCATTACTTAGGCAAGTGAGATGTCTCAGCAGGTAAAGGTGCTTACTGCCTTCTGATGACCTGTGTTCAGTTCCCAGATCCCACATGTCAGAATGAGAGACCTAACACCCATAAGTTGTCTTATGGCCTCAGTGGTACATCCACTGAAACATGTACAATAAAGGAATATAAAACAGATTAAATCATTGTTCTTCTTTCAGACATTGATTAAAATAGCAGTCAGTTTAAGGACATAGCTTTCCAAAGCCTTTTAAAAGACATCAAACCTCAACTTGGGCTTTCTAAATATAGACCTGCTTACAGAGATGCACAGAAGAGTAATGGAAATGAAACGTTTGTTCCAGTATGAGACAATCCTACCTCTGATTCTCTGTTCAGAGGATACTTTTCTCAGGGATAATAAGTTGATTCTCTTGGTGTTAAAGTTATTGTGCTTCATTTAACATTGAAAACCATGACTAGGGGTTCAGAATAAAGTGCAATAGGAGAGGAGAGAATAGCTTGTCATGCATAATGCTTGGGGTTTAGTTTCCAACAGAAAAAGGGAAAGGGAAAATCAACCATTATCAAGAGAAAAAAAAAGGTTGATCACTGAGAGAAGAGGAAACAAACCCACAAAACCTGAAGACTCTACAACTCTGTCATAAGATTAAACATTCATCATACTATCAAATGCTTATATCTAAACCTCAATTAAAATAAATCTTTTTCTTGGGGAAGTTTACCATTATGAAATCATTTTGATCTCAATAGACTATGCAGTAGTTTAACTAGAGTAATTAGTGTTAGGGTCCTGGAGAAGTCCCACAAAAAGCCACCATCCATGTATGCAATCAACAAGAGCATTTATTGTCTCGAGAAAGATCCCAGCATGCTGGGGCTGTTCATCCCACACAAAGGCAAAATGGTGACAACCCCAAGAGGAACATGTGGGCTCCTTTTAATCACAGCCAAGAGGAGTTTCTAGGGAAGTTAGGTCATCTTAGATATGATTGGCTTAAACAAGTGACAGTCATATTAGTACATTCTAATTGGCTAGGTCTAGTCAGGGCAAGGTTAAGACTACAGCTTTTCCATTTGGGGCCAGTCCTGGACAAGTCCCAGTCTTTGTCCTTATTTGGTTATCACCTTGAGCTGTTGTAAAGGCTGGATGGCCTAGTATGGGCTGATTGTAGGGGCTCACTCAGTGGCCCAGGCTGGGTACATCCTATTTCCCTTGTCCCTGTTGTTCAGGGCACCAGTGATTAATTGCCCTTTGTTCATGGCTTCTCCCTCAGAAACTACTTGCTCAGTCTCAGGAAACTGAAATTGAAGCCTGATCTCTGACAGAAGACTAAGCAGCCTGTTATGGTGTCTGCTCAATCCTCTCTGTTAGATGGTCAGTTAAAAAACTTTAACCTAAATAGATACCTCCAGAAGTAAAGAACTGTTGTCGCAAATGCCTTGGGTGTAGCTGGAAGCTTTCTCCAGTCCCACCAGGCCCCCACAGCCCCGTGGCCCACTTATAAAATTCAGAAGCTTATATTAATTATAATTACTTGGCCATTAGCTCAGCCTTATTACTGTCTAGCTCTTACACTTGAATTAACCCATAATTCTTACTTATGTTTAGCCACGTGGCTTGTTACCTTTTCTTAGTTCTGTTTTGTCATCTTGCTTCCTCCTTGTCTGGCTGGCAACTCCTGACTCAGCCCTTCCTCTTCCCAGAATTCTCCTTGTCTGTTTGTGTTTTGATTAGACAGAAAAGGGGAAGTGCTGTGGGATGCCTTTCTATATGCTGTGAATATGTGTTGTTCTGGTTGGTTGATAAATAAAGCTGTACTGGCCTATGGCAAGGCAGCTTAGAGGGAGGTGGGAAATGCAAGCGTAGAAAGGGAGAGGGAGGAGACTACAAGCCAGCCGCCCAAGGAGCAACATGTAATGAAACACAGGTAAAGCCATGAAACATGTGGCAATACATAGATTAATAGTTGTGGGTTAATTTAAGATATAAGAGCTAGCTAGCAAGAGGCCTGCCATAGACTATACAGTTTGTAAATAATGTACATCTCTGTGTTTACTTGGGTCTGAGAGGTTGCAAGACTGGGCAGGACACAGAAAATCTTCTGACTACTCAGGGGCCTACTGAACCATCTTACATGTTTGCCAGAGTCCTCAGGTATCTATAGCAATAGCCTTCAAGAGCCTTCTGACCTTTAAGGTACCGCCTATTCCTTCCCATATTGTCCAGGCTCCTCAGTTATCTCTAGCAACTGCTTCTATCAGGGACCAAGCTACTCAAGTATCTCCAGTAACAGCATCCAGCAGTGTCCAGGTCCCTGAAGTATCTCCATTAACAGCATCCAACAGTGTCCAGGTCCCTGAAGTATCTCCAGCAACATCACCCAGACATACCCAACCCCCTGGAGTGTCTCTAACAAAAGCATCCAGCAGTGCCCAGGCCCCTGGAGTGTCTCGAACAACAGCACCCAGCAGTGCCCAGGCCCCTGGAGTGTCTC